TTCATCACATATAATTTAATATAAAATTATTTTATACCATAAATTTTTAAATAATATAATTTGCAAGTAAATATTATAGAATTTTAAATTTATAAATTCTGAATTTAGATTAACATTTTTAAGTGATAATGACTGGGTTCTAAATTTAATATTTATACATATTTGATGAATTTCTTAATATATAAAATACACTGTTTGAGCAAAAACTATTGAGTTTGATCGAACCCGCACCTCGGCTCCTTAGGCCCCGACCACAACTACATAGCTTTTCTCATCTCAATAGCATGCCGGTCTAGCAACGATTTTTCATCATTATCTGCGTACTGTATACCATTTCCTTTAAGAGCAAATTAAATTTGTCTCTCAAATTGCCATTAAATATAACTATACATTCGTCCGTTTGATTTTTTATGCAAATATAGAATTTTCATACAGGTAAGTGTTACTGTCTTACATCACACAAATATAAAGTCAAAGCACACCCTTCCCCGTTAATTAAGCAGCAGCTTCAACCACAAAACAATTAATGAAGGCAAAATGTAGATTAACTCGCCACCAGAAAAATAGATTTTGACAAGAAAAGAAAAACAGTAAAGGTTCTTTAAATTAACACAATATTTCAATCACGCACTAATTAAAAGTCCAAACACTCGGGGCTTATCCAGTGTAGAGCCTATGGGTTCACTTGAACCCATAGTTTTTGCTCATATCCTATATTTTTGCTAAAAGAATTATTAAATAAGTATAAATAATAAATTTTGCACTCATTAAATTATATAAGATATGGTAGAATCACGAATTTAAACTCATAAAATTCAAATTCTTGATCCGCCTCAATACTGGCTCCCATTCTAGCAGGAGTGTCTTACAAACGCTTGGGGGAACAATGTAGAGAAAGTTGAGTTTTTGAAGGCCACAAGCAACCAATAAATTCCATAGCAAGGCAAGTGAAACACCGCCAAGCAAAAGTACCTGCCGTAGCACGTAAGCAATAAGCATTAGTTTCAGTGGAAGATTGAACAAAAAAATGTACAAAATTTATAAAGTTTACGTACCATAGAGGAGCCCACGGCGTTGAAAGTTCCAAAAAGGGGTAGGGCCACCTTAGAAAAATTCACAATATTAAGTTCAGAGTTGACGTTTATGGAGAAACCATATAGTAAAACTTCATGCGTTTTTTATAACATGTAATCTTAAATATGACATACTATTTGTGTAGCCGTTAACACTTCTTATTACAGGTAATATTGAAATCCTAAAACAAAAATAAGTTCACCTAACTTTAAACAGAAAAAATTACATTCTATTCTTCTATGCAAAAATACATATATAGGAGGAATAGTATATTATTACCAAATTAAACCGCAGGCATGGATAAGCCACTGAAAAATGACATAGCAGCAGCTCCACAACACAAAATATGCAAGCCCCGACCAAGGTAATGGCTGCAAATTAAGTGTACTCAGATGAGCAGGAAATGTTAAAATAAGGCTCAGAACACAGAAATTGAACAATATTGTGTCTTACCAGGCTATTGAGACAGGTATCAATCAGAAGAAAAATAATGTTGAGAGAATGCATACCACCCATCAACTGTCAGGCAAACAACAACAAAATGATAAATATATGTTCAAGACTTAATAAGGTCCTTAACTAGAGCTAGCTAGCTAGTGCTTGTGGCTAGCTGTACGAGATATTTTGATGAAATAATACTTAGAATATTTAAGACATGAATAAACAAATAAGATTCTCGAAACATTTGAAATGGAACAATTTCACATAACATGTATCATCAATATTAGCCCTTAAAGTAACTTGAAGAAAAAAAGACGTTCACTACTGAGGAAAGAAGCATGCATGTATATATATACCAGGTTTAGCTGAAGATGTGAATTTGACGAGTAGGGTAGTATAATGAACCAAAAGACAATGTCCGTAAGAATTACTGAACCTGCACATGTCTGTTCAGGTGAGAAAATCTCATTAGAATAGCAAGCAGTAAATTCGATGCGTAATGCAGAATATATATTACTCCTATAGAACACTGGAATAAACCTGACAACATTAATATTTGTAGGATGATGATGTACCAAAAGTTTTTTTATTTTATTATTACAGTACCTCTATCTTTGTCCCATTTTTTATGTCATTAATTATTATTATTTGGAGATCAACTTTAACTCAATAAGCAGTGGTGGATCCAGAATTTTCATCAAGGGGTGTCAAAATATAAATAATTAGATACATCGAAAAGTTAAGGGGAATCAACGTATAGTAAATATACATAATATAAAAAAATTTATCTAGCAAAATATCGTAATTTTCCGTTGAAGGGGTGTCGCTCTGCCACTGTCAATAAGTTATAGATATGAAAAGTGAAGTAAGCAGACCAAATGTCACATTAAGTTCACCTGCCATTTGAAGTGAAGGATAGTTTGTTATAATACAAGTTGGAAAGCATGTGAAAGGCCACTTTTGGTGCCTTTTAAGTCCTTATCATTTTATGTGTTTAGTTTAGAACACATGCTCTTATATGTGTGCAAATACATGCATATATACATATATATGCATACATATATATATATATATAT